GCTTTTTCAACCTATCAGACTTTATCGATTTGTTGATTTTGCGTGTATTTAGCTGTGTATAGCTGGAAACTGGCAGGAAGATAGTTAAGCATGCTTAATTCGAATAAAATATTTATAACTTCATTCATTGACCTTTTTCACCAATTGTCTGATTTTTTCCATGTCAGATTCTAGAGGCGAGCTGATATTCAACTGTGCACCAATTTTTCCCAGTGGGATTAGTCGACCAGCTCTGCTCATCAACAAAATCGAAGATCTTGACCGACAAATCAACATTGCAATCAATCAATATCTCTATTTATGAAGCAGAAAATCTGTGCGTTTGTGTGTCTATGCATGTTTTCCATAGTCATGAAGGATGAGCGGTGAAGGTCATTTTGATCAGCTGGTCATTAAGATATGGTAAGAACGATAGAAGCGGACCCATACGAGCAGGAATTAAAAGAAGGGTGAATTTCGCTACATGAGAGATCAAGTACGGGACTGGCCCGTATCGGGTTGGAACCCGGGATGCCAGCTCGTACTTAGTGTAATAATTGATTTAGACACTTTTCTATACTCGTTCTAAGAGGATAGAAAGAGTCGTAGAAGCCAAAGCAGATTTGGCACACGTAATGCATGAGATGGGGCGTGTGTGGTTCAGTCATTTTAGGTTCCGGCTACGAAAACAAAACCCCCTTTTGCTTTTTTTTCTCCCAGAAACGATATCCAGCTTGCTTATGAGCCAGCTGTGCCGAGTCCTGTGCCTTGGTAAGCGTGCTCAAATTACCCGAATATTCACTATAAAATATCAAGTCTGAGGGCACTGCTTGCTAAAATAAGCCATGCTTGGGAAATATTTAAATTAAAATCCATGTAATATTACATGAAAAAAATTACTAAATTGTGAGGATGGGTAAGAGGATAATGAAGCTGGAGAGAAAAAGCGTGCAAATTTTCTTTTCAATTTTTTTTCTCCCTTTTTCTCTCTCCACTTGCGCTTTTGTTGTCGTAAGTCTCAAACTTTACTCAGCCATCTTACAGACAAAAATATTCGTTTAGGCACAAGTTTCACAGAGTTTGACATTTAGGATGTCAGGGTAAAACAGAGTCCAGCAAAGTCATCAATCTTTTGTCAACTGTTCGCAAAATTTTTGTGCTACAAGGTCTATGAGTTCGCCAAAGCTAATGTATGCTCTCTGAAAAACAATTTGCAAAAAAGATAAAAAAGTATATGCCAGCCCTATGTCAAAGCATGTTATCGCAGAATGAACGGTCTTTAATAAAACCTTTAAAATCAACTTCTCGCTTTTTTATCATGCATGTATCTCGTACATCTAAAGCCTTCAGACAAACTGCTCAAATTAGTGTAATCAGTTTATCCAGAAGTTCCTTTCGATTAAATTATAGCAATAGAAATAACATACTGCAAAAATAAGAAAAATTCTAGAACGATTAATATGATACGTATACGTTGATATATGTACATGTCAATTATTAGATTGTCCCAAAAGTTTTGTCGGTTTATTCATCGCTTACTAAATTCCACAGAAAACCAATCCATGGGCAATATAGGTTTTGCTCTCCGATCTACTCTGTTTTTGCGATGTTATCGCCACGGCTTTCTGAGCAGCTCAGAAGTAACGCCAAACTTTACTGAATCTCAAAAATTTTTATCCTGATGTTTTCAAAGAGCGCTGGTAAGTGTTATTGTTGTGTCCTCAAACTTCTGACACGTCGACTCTTCGTCCTGAGGCCACACACGAGAGGAACAAGAATATTTATTAGAAAATAATAGAGGACAGTAAAATAAAAGAGACGATGAGTGAACAGTCGAACGAATTGTAGAACTGACTAAGGCTATAAGTGAGCGCCTTTTATAGCGCTCATTTCCCGCGCACCCTGAGGTTGCGATCGACTGCGCGAGGCAGATCACTATGAGGAACGGATCAGTTACTAACACAACACCTCCCCCAGTAGGATAGTCACACAAAACTAGCCTACGATAAAAGCATGAACTACAAATATGAACAGCTAAGAAATCGATCATATATAGAAATTTGAACAACTACAAAACTAATGAAACAAACATACAATAAAATACTGTGCACTAGGTTGGAACCGTTGTACAGGTCTTCTCGTTCGGCTCGATCTCCGAAGCGTCGTCGATGGCGTGGAGGGCTCGTGGTTTGATGTCGATGTCGATGTCGTTAAATCCACGGGTGCTGGCACATCGCTCGCGATTGCTTGCTCGGAACTCTCTTCAGCAGCATTGCCATTCCTCGGTAGTGTGTCGCCTTCTGCCAGAACATCTAACAGTATTTTCAAGGCTTCGGATTGTTGTTGAAGTTGTTGTCGTACGGCGACCTGTTCACTATCGCTTCGATGCCGTAGCTGATTTGCATGCTTCTTGCATACCTCATCACCAACCATAACTTCATAATTTACGCGTCCAATACGTCTCATCACGGTTCCTTTCATCCAGTGGAAGTGGGGTGGCTTCCCACTGCTTAACGTACACTAGGTCACCAACTTCGAACTCTTTCCGAGTGACTCCATGCTTTCTGTCGAACTGATCCTTCATGCGCTCTCGTATTCTTCGTGCGAGTGGGTCTTCTACATCTTCTGTCATCGGTAGTAACAGACTTGACTTTGTGCGCAAATTCCTGCCAAGGAACAACTCTGCTGGCGTCTTGTCGTTCAAGTTCGTGTTTGGTGTTGTCCTGTACGCTTGTAACACCACATCACATTCTCTTCTGTTGGCCTCTCCTCCCCCTCTAGTTTCTTGATTCCGCGTTTCAGCGTATCAACGAAACGCTCTGCCTGTCCATTCGATTGACGGTGGTATGGAGCAGTCCTTATGTGGGTATTTCCACCTTCGTCGCACATCTTCTTGAATAAGTCCAATGTGAACTGGGTACCGTTGTCGCTCACTATTGTTTGTGGTAATCCATACCTCGCAAACAGGTTCTTCAAAGCCTTCACCGTTTTCGCAGCCGAGATATTGGTCATCTCGATCATTTCGGGCCATTTGCTGTACGCATCTACCACGACCAAATAGAAAACTCCTTGCATAGGTCCAGCGAAGTCGATGTGTATTCTCTGCCACACTCGAGTCGCGGACGGCCACGCTTATAATGGTACCTTCGTCGGATTTTTGGCTAACTCCTGACATTTCGTGCACCTTCGTACCAAATCTTCGCAATCCTTGTCGATATTCGGCCAGTAGACGTAACTTCGAGCCAGTTTCTTCATCCTTACAATCCCTGGATGACCACTATGCAGTTCCTTCAGAACATTTCCTCGAAGCTCCTTGGGTATCACAACTCTTTCGGCTGACATCAGACATTGCTCCACGATTGACGATGTCTCTCTTCGATCTCGAAAATGTGCCAGTTCTCCTTTCATGTCTGGCCACTGCCCTTTCTTCAAGTAGGTCATTACTCTTTGTAGCACTGGGTCCTTCTTCGTGTAGGATTGCACATCTGATACTGTCACTGGTAGTTTCCTAATACAATTCTTCAACATGTAGTCTACGTCGTTCTCAACGGCAGCTATTACGACGTCTTCTTCGGGATTCTGATTTTTCTTCATCAACCGGACAAGCCATTAGCTTGTCCGAACTTCGTAGTCTTCACATACTCTATGTCAAAGTCATATCCAAGTAGAATTGTAGCCCATCTCATAAGTCGGTTAGCGGAGTAGATTGAAACTCCCTTCTTATCACCGAAGATGGCTAACAATTTTTCGCAGAGCAGCCTCACCCTGGCACTCTCTGTGAGCTGCTTCGCATCTTCGACGAAGACTTCCTTGTAGCGGGCGTACCGTAGCGGGCTTACCATTTGCTGAAGCACATGTCCGCTTCGGCGTCGAAGTAGAATTTTTCGATCCGATTGCTTAGTGCGGACATCATATTCGGAATCTCCGTCGAACTGCCTTCTTTCCTGCCTCCGATGTGTTTAAGAAACATCTCCATCATCTCCTTTCTTTCTTCTTCGATCATCTCCTTGAAGATCATCATCATCTCTTGGACGTCCACTTTCGCCATGTCGATCGATCACTTTTGTTTACGAATCTTCGTTTCAAATCAAGGCTTCGTTCTTCGGCTACTCTTCGATAGTAGCCGCACGTCCTGATCGCCACTGTTGTGTCCTCAAAATTCGGACACGTCGACTTTTCGTCTTGAGGCCACACACGAGAGGAACAAGAATATTTATTAGAAAATAATAGAGGACAGTAAAATAAAAAAGGCGATGAATGAACAGTCGAACGAATTGTAGAACTGACTAAGGCTATAAGTGAGCGCCCTTTATAGCGCTCATTTCCCGCGCACCCTGAGGTTGCGATCGACTGCGCGAGGCACTATGAGGAACGGATCAGTTACTAACACAACAGTTATGAAGAGCAAGCCTTTAGCTACATTGATTACATGGACCATGTTTACCAAGCTCGTTATAATTATTTGTTTGATAAAAACCGCGGCTTTTGACTAAGTCTATCACTAGGATTACCGAAAATCCCAAAAAACTGATTTTTTGAAACAAAGTATACTAGGTTATGTTGCATAATGTTTAATAGCATTTAAGCTTCAATTGGCAAAAATTTTAGAAGCTTCCATGTTTTTGCTGCGATAGCGTGTTTCATGACTTCGTCAAAAATTGAGACCTCCGAAAAAATGATTTCTCGAAGCTAAAGACAGCAGATTAAAAGAATCTAAAAATATTACCGTATAGTCCGAGAATTGTTCTATTCAAGCCATACTTAACCCTTTCCGAAACCTTGAAATAAAATTTACAAAAATTAGCCTAACTTTGAGCAGATAAAAATGACTGCTGAAAAATTGTGGCAATTATCAAAAAAGCTAACAAGGTTGTGGCCATAAGATAGAGAAAAGCTGCATCGAATACAAGTTGAAACTCATTTAGGTCTTTATTGTGCGTGGTTTTATAGTGGTTCAATTAAACCGAGAAAACTTTTGTGACAGCCCTAATACATAAGCTGACGTCGACTGTAAAACATACCAGCTCAGCTTCTTCGAGTTGTCTATCCCCACAATCAGGCAAAGGATCGCATTCGAAACCTCCATCTTTAATGTCCGGCTGTCCAGTAGCAAATATCATTAGTATGCGATCATCGGCAGTCTCCTTCTGAACTACAAGCTTTCAAATTATGGGCCCTTCCTTCCCAGCTTCACCTCGAGTATTAGTCTTGCCATTTTCATTCCAGCTCCCGTCACTGTAAAAACCCCGGGACTATCCTGATTTCTTGCTATGAAAATCCTGCAAGTATTCAGTATGAAAAAAATAAGGTTGCATAGACCAGGTCGTGAAATGAAAGTCAAAATGTCAAGATGACTGTTTAACTAGAATTCAGGTTTAATCAATCAGGCTCGTTGTGTTTTTCCAGCCAACTTCACAGTTGAAATTAATGACTTATATGCGGGTGGCAAACTTTATGAACTATAGCGCGCTTAGGCAGGCATGTTATATCATGTCAGTAAAGCTGCGTCCATACTGAAGATTCTGAATTTCGAACTGAGCGCTGTGCTGCAAACTGCTCTAAAACTTCCGGATCAGTATGCGCAGCCTAAGGTGCGCACCGTTAGCTCCGCCCATCGTTGAATGGACGAGTTTTCTATATTACAAGCCTTAGCGCTGCTTCATGCTAATATATAGCAACAGTTGCAACTATGGAATGGACCCCAAACTTCGGGACTTGCGGTTCTCGGTATTGAGGTTTGCGTAATTTGCGGGATTCAGCTATAACTTTTTCTAAAAGACATTCCTTTGAAATCTGAAGAAGATTTTTTCAGCTTGATGAGACAAATCTATTGGTATACGGCTGTCCGTCAGCCATGGTAATAGGGTGCACATATTATAATATCTTGTTATTTTCTACGATGATGCTTTTGTGAAGATGTGTCACAATGTAAATTGCGAATAATAACAGGTTTTGGCATGAAGTCTTGATTATCGAAAACTATCGCGAGAAGCTGAGCCGTTTATTCGCCCTTATCGTTGGTTTAATCATTTTATCATTTATCACTGATGATAACAGAAATCGGAATAATCTTCAATCTTTTGGTATGTAGTAAGGAAAGCACCGTAGAAAACAATGTGTGAGAATTTATCGCTCTTTCTCTGACTAGTCCGTTCCGGTTGCATTGCTCGGTGCAGTTGGTAGATCCCTCGCTGCAGCAATCAATTGACTCATCGGCACATGCCATTGCTGCTCATTTTCACCTGAAATCGCATTACTGCTTACAACTCGCCTCAGACTAAAGCCTGGGAAGGGAAATTTCGCGCGCAAGATGAAGACGAACGTAATTTTTCACATAATTTTAAGCACCTTATGTCCCTTATCATCAATATCTTATCATTTATCACCAAATATTAAAATTTGGATCTTTTTTAGTATGATTGAAAAAACTACCTTACTTACGTGGTGTGAATTTACAGGTTTTGCCGTTTCTTTCGCACATTGTGCAAACCATACCTTCGATAATAGAGCCATGTACTCTGGTAACCTTCACTTTGAGCGTCATGATAGGACACAACCTTCGGAGAAAATAACAGATGTAATTTGAACCAAAGCCCCGGATATCATGACACAACCATATAGAGTGAATATGAACGAGGCAAGTAGTAAGTGATATTTGAAAAAGCCCAGAAAAGAAAAAGATTGCGTTTTTGTAGCCTTTTTTGCTGAAAGAAGGTTTTTAGGACGACAATTTTCAACTAACCTTTTTACAAACTGCGATTGAGTGTTAGAAGCTCACGAAAGCTGTTGGTGTTCAATAAAGACGAGAAACTGCGCTCAAATCTTGCTCAAAGATCGCTACTTAAGTGCTGGTTTATCTCGTAATGGAGTGATTTTTAACACCGGCGACGTTGTCAATGCTCCTGCTCGTGTCATGAGGATCACAACACTATATAATGTTTCAGGGTTTCGTTAAGATCCCGCCGACATCTACGACCAGAGCCAAATGTCCCACCGGCTTTGGTGTGTCTTCGCTGCTCTGCTCTCGTCTACGTCTACGCGCGTAGCGCGCTATCTCGCTGTCCCTAACGCAGGCATTTGGCTCTGGTACCCTCTTCTTTGTTGTTTTCAAGTTAGTCCTAGCAAACTGTATATATTAAAGTTCTTGATCTCTACTTTCACGCTGGCAACGTTGCAGAAGTCCACTTTCTGATTTAAACGAAAAATCTGGCAAAAATGTGTTTTCAAAAATCCCTTGTTTTTTCTTCAATTTAGCTCTTATCAAGCGGGTTTTTTGTGCATTTCATAGATCTTGCTTCCGTCCATAATACAGACAACGTCTCGGGGCTAATTCTTTCAAATGTAAGGAAATACTCGGGACAAAGCTGCAAAAAGTACGTTTTTGGCCTTCATTGGAGTGAGCAAGCAACCATTACTGATATGCTTGGGGCGTTCGCTCAGAATTATGAGCACAACAAAGCTAACAACGCCGCCGGAAACAGAGACTACGAGAACAGGCTACAAATTCAAAGGACGCATTAATAACTAGGTTGCCTTTGATGCATTTTCACTTAGGAGAAGACAAAACTTTACGTTTTTATAAGTGAATGTTTTTTGTTTATTCTCTTCTTGGTAATCACCACTTCCAAAATATGTTTGTTTTTGAAGCAATCTTAAAGAAGAAACCAGTGGCCGTATTTATCAACGAACCCTGAGGGTTAAACTAACCTTAGAGGGTAAGTTTAATCCTGGAAAACGCTTAATTTGTATTCACGAAACACGGGGTAGGCTTAGCCCCGAAAGTTAAATCTACCCTTGAGGGTAAACCTTACCCCGGAAAGCGATTAATCCGTATTCATCAACGTACCCTGAGGGTTAAACTGACCCTGGAGGGTAAAGCTTACCCCCGAGAGCGACTAGCCCGTATCTATGGATGACTTATCAGGGTTAATTTAACCTTAGCTTAGAGCAAGGTTAACTCTACCCTAACACTTTATGCAAACATAAAGTGATCTCTCGATGCACTATTTAACCCTAACAATACTATCTAACACTTCCAAATTACGTTTCTTCTTTAGAACAGTCTCAAAGAAGAAACCAGCTTTCCGTCGTTTTCCCCCGCGCTGAGAACTGCCTGGTCCTGAAGAGAAAATCTGCAATTTTGAAATGCCGCTAAACGAAAATTTCAAGCTGACTGCGGCGCTTTATTACGTTTTTGAAAGTTTTTCTGCTTTCGCTAATTGTTTTGTATCTTCGACTTTTTTGACTTGCTATAAACAAATTTCATTTTTTATGAGGGCATATACTCAAACAACCTTCACTTTTGACGCCCTGTCTCCACACTATCGAAGGTATGGTACAAACTGTAAATACTTTGCTGCAGCGACTGATTATTGCACAACATGCCGCATGCCACTGCTCTCCCTCATTGGTCTCTTGAAGGAGCCTTGATCTTCCAAAAGATTTGGAACACAAAAAATTGTAAATTGTGAACAAATGGTTTTGAATCAAACACCATTAGATTACACTACTCACAAGGGGAAGCATGTTAAGTCGAAGCGATTTTTTAAAAGGGATTTAGACCACAATGAAGGGCATAAAATGATGATTTCAAATCTGGCTTTACTGTCTGCGGAACGTTAATGAACGAGGAGATATGAGCGCTTACTGGAGCAAAAAATTGAATGCGCAAGTAGGACAGAAACTGCCGTAATGCTTTTTCCAGCTTTTCAATGGAGCCTGATAATCATCAGAGCACTTTATGCAAAAAAAATTTTAAATAAAAAAATTATACTTCGTTGCATTATTTGAGGGCTAGTAAAATTGTAGCAACTTATTTTATCGAAATGCACGTTCAATTTTTCGCTATAAAAACGCTCATAACTCCTCGTCCATAGATGTTCTGTAGATAAGGAATTCAAGTCTGGAATCAACGTTATATGCAGTTCAGTATGGTGTACATCCCATTTAAAATGGCCACTTTGTAGAATTTTCATGCTCTTTCCTGCGACCTCCCTAGGACTTAGGACTCCTGTCAATAAAAATTACAGCGATAAGATGAAAACTTGTCTATCTACAAATATTTTCGCGTATGATCATATACAATACCGCTAATAGAGCTTGCGAAATCTCCTCAAATGTTGCGGAATCCAAAAACTACCCAGCGTCGTCATTTCCTTTCGGAATGAACATATTCTCAATTTGAAAAAGCGCGGTGCTCAGCACATCAAGTGTCTCTTGATATGCAGCGTGTGCTTGATATCCAGCTTCCTCTTCTTTTTTTCTGCCGACGTCATTTCGCAAGCATGTAACGTGCCGCGCGTCACACATAAAAGATCGCAGGCTAAAAGCAGCCAAAGAATCCTTTTTAAAAGAAGAAGACCTGGTAAATTCTAGAAAAATCATGTTGTTCTAAATTCTGCTCACCATAATCAAATATAGAGCACTCCTGCCGAGCAGATGCGATTTTCGTAATCAGCAAATCGGATAACTTTATGAACAAGTTTTCCAGGGTTCGGTTTATTTCGTTTTTTTCTTATTGCGCTGTAGAGCTGCGGATGGTTCTGGTCAAAATGTTGATAATCTTGAGTTGAAAGGACTTCGCTCACAGAAGTTTCAGACACGTTGTTTTATGAAAATCGTGGTCTTTGCGGTGTGCACGGTCTTCTAGCAGAAATATAGCTAGGGAAGGAAGCTGTAGCTCAGGCACAAAAGTTCGTAAACTCGCCTGCACTTTTCGCGTACCCTTTAGAGAATTTGCTTGCTTGTTTTGACAGGTCATCACTAGCAAATAAGCTAATGAACGGTGCATGTCAGGCTCAAGTCTATAACCCTCGCTGCGTTACAAAATCACGTCCTTATGAATTTTATCCAAAACGCAAAGTTCGCATACTTCGTCGAAATTTCATAAACATTGGTCTCAAGCTGACTTTTGGTGCTGCAGACGCATCCAAGTACTAGACTTGCCTCATCATTGGCGTGGTCTACTGTGCAGTGAATAGTGGCTTGGACTGCTGAGCTGGATGTCGGTTTGATTCTCCTCGGGCACCGCAAATTTTGCGTTTTTGCAAAATCCTTCACAGCTCTTCCAAAATGACGTCATAGCAGATAGGGAGTGCGGTCTAGAGATCACCTTCTGGGGACGGTATACGCGGTATATTTTCCCTTGTAATAGAATCTCCCGTATTCGCACAAAAACCACTTCTCTTCTGCCGTTACGTCGATGACTGCTGCATAGTATGCTCCACCTACGGAGAGCTAGATCTCTTTTTTAACATCTTCAACCAGCAGTCTCGTCACA